ATACCAACAGAAAACTACGTAATGTGCTTGAATTTTGAGATTTTGCCCGGGTGGCAATGGGTCCTTACGTTGCATTAGGCTGATTGCAGATTGCGTCCACTCAAGCAATACTGCAATTCCTCCACCGCTGCCTGGACAATCAATTGACCCCAAAGAGCGTCTCTGCTCTGGCAAGGGAGACTGTTGCTCGACTTGGCAGAAGAATTACAAGAGTGGTAATTCACGATTGTCATCAAAGACGTAAACGCTACAATTTATAGATTGACCAATCTAAGTGTTATCTCTGGAGAGATGTCGAGGAATAATCGAAAAACATAGAGCTGACCATTATCAGACATGTTCAGAAAGCACGTGCCAAAATAAACAAGGAATTATCTTTAAAACTGGAAAAAACTTCGACTACCAATACCAAAAGCTCGTCAAGCGTCCTTGTTCACAACCATTCATCTAGAACCCTTACAAACACACAACTCGCCATCCTAGAACGTGACGTTACATTTAAAACAGTAGATTCCGCACCCACAGAGTTTGTTGGCGCCTTCAAATCTGTTCTACAATTAACAAAGGCATCAGAAGAGATGAAACGTTTGATCTGGCACTCAACCTCCGCGTTGCTTATGCCACAAAGGAGGTACGAAACTCTTAGTAATATGGAACAGCGAGCACTGAAAAGCCTTAATGCAAACAAGGACATAATTATTCAGCCAGCTGGCAAAGGACGTTAAGCAGTTGTGCTGGACAAATCGAATTATCAGAAAAAGGTAAAGGACTTACTCGAAGACCAACATTCCTTCAAACAATGCCGTGCCAGCGAAATGAAAAATCTAATCACCCGGATAAATAAAAGCCTAAGAAATCTCAGAGACAAGGGGGCGATTACACCGAACGACTGGTGCTCCATGAAACCCACTGACACCGCCACTGCTCTCTTGTACGATCTACCGAAGGTACATAAGGCAAATGTACCGCTCAGACCAATCGTACCCCTTCGTGGAACTCTGACGTACGGTTTGGCAAACTGTATGTTCGGCCGTCTGCAGTTTTTGGCCGAAGGCTTACCAAAAACAGTATCATCTGCGTATCAATTCTTCGAACGCATAAAACATCTGAGGTTAGAGCTAGACGAGTCATTGATATCCTTTGATGTCGTTTCGCTCTTCACCTCCATTCCACAGCAATTAGCGATAGACTTTGTGCACCGACTACTGGCAGAGCGTTATGAGGAGAAAGACAAACGCCTGAAGTCTGAGAATCTGCCCGAGCTTCTGCGATACTGCCCCAAGACCTATTTCACCTTCGGTGGACAAATGTACGAACAAATAAAAAGCACTCTTATGGGCTCTCCTATATCAGGCCTAATCGCTGAAGTTGTTCTTCAACGGGTAGAAAATTTGGTGTTCAGCAAGTATCAACCAAAGTTCTGGACCCGCTATGTCGATGACACCTTCGTCGTTGGCAAAACAGCTGGCATTTAACACCTAAAGGAACTACTGAACTCGGATGACCCAAATATCCAATTTACGATGGAGGCAGAAACAAACAACCAACTGCCTTTTTTGACGTATTTGTATGCCGGTGTATCACTGGACAACTGCAAACTACAGTAATCCGAAAATCCACCGACTCGAGACAGAGCCTACACTACAACAGCAACCATCCTCTGCCTCAAAAACAGTGTGGTGTCCGCACTCTATTCCAAAGAGTCGAAACACAATGAAGCACACCAGAAGATAAAGGGCCGAACAATTGTAGCTTGTGAACCTATGTGCAGCCAATGGTTTTCCCAGGCATTTCAACGGAGAAGCAGACGTTGAGCGCCCAGACAACGGCCAAATGGGCAGCAACCCGAAATCGGGAGGGCCATTCCTTACGTTAATGGGGTCTCTGAAGCCGTCTCGAGACTGCTACAACCCACCGGAATATGCCTAGCCCATCGAGAACAAGCAACAATTCGACGTCGCATAATGCAGCTTAACGACCCATTGCCACCCGCTGAAACCTCAGCAATCATGTACAAAATAAATTGCAATGAGGGCGACTGCAACTATGTGGGCAAAACCGGGCGGAAGTTGCAAACTCGTCACAAGAACACAAATCGGTCATTCGGAGGTTAAACTCTAACTCTCAACTAGCAACAGACGTTGGAGAAACGGGGCATACTTTTGACCTCCAGAGGGCTACCATCTTAGGCCGAGGCAGCACAAAAACAGAACGGCTAACTCTCGAGGCGTGGTTCTCCGATGCCCACTCTATCGACAGCCATCTGGACCTTCCTGCAACTTACAATGTCCTACGTCATCACAATCGTAGAGCTCAGGACCAAACAGCCACACGGGATCTACGAAGGCCGCAAGGAGATATCTCGACGCTGAGTTTACTCGGTGACAAGGAAGAAAAACCGCCAGAACAACCGCCCGTCTAAAGTCCTATCAGTTCCTCTCGACGGAACGGTGACTCGCAATCCACACAGGCAAAACGCCCTTCAACCATTTCCCGAAAGGCCGAGACAGCGAGAAAAGAAAAAATCGATCAGCATGGGGCCGGCCAACACAACTGCCACTTTAAATTTCATTTCTGATCGATGAAGTTCATTTTACGCTTTGACAGGGAAGAGCCGACCCAGCAATTTGAAACTTCAGCACTTAAATAAACCGTTTACGGAGAGCCTGTCTTCGTCTTCAAATATAAATATGTTTTAAAAACGTTTTAATTTCTAAACTTATTCGGAATCGCCTTTGCGTGTCTCGTGCACTTAGGGTTTCATAAGTATAATCGCATATTTTCCGTTTACGAAAATTTAAACATTTTTCTGTGCTGTTAAGAGGGGCCTATAAAAGTATCAGACAATCTTCCAATGAATTTAGGATATGTTGAAAGCATACAAAAGGGCAGTGGTTACTGCAGATAGGACATTACTTTAGCCAGCACGATGGCATGCATAAATGAGGAGCCGTTTGAGTCGAAGGTACGGTGGCGTGCATCAGATCTTATTAAGGAAGGCCTATTAAATTGCAAATTTCACGTTCAATGAAATGAATTCGTAAACCTTGTCAGTATAAGACGGGTTGTCATTGATCGGCCCACTTGGTTTCAGTCTGTGTTTTATGAAATTCTCTAAGTTTAACTTGGGAAGGCCTTGATGCTCCAAAAATTTCGATTAGTTGATTCCATATCTGTTTTCAGATTAAAACGCTTATATTAGTGCTGAGCTAAATACAGTGGATGTGCTCACTAATGCTATGTCAACTGACATTTTAAAATGCGTTTTCGACCAAAAAGTATTTTAGCTAGGTCCGTATTATTAATCCTAACGTAACAAAATTTAAAATTACTGTAGTTACATCCGGTGGCTGACTTTTAAATTAATTTCTTTTCAACCGTCTACAAGCACCAAATGTGTAATATTATGAAAACGTTATAAGCATGGTTTTTTAATATTTTAACTTCCGGGGAGGATGTTGTAGTAATATAATAATTTTCCAAGCTAACGACATTTCGCCAACGTGTTATGTATGTTCACAGGACTTCATATGTGCGTTTACCTAAGCTGATTTTAAGGGAAACAATATGATTTCAATCCACCGCTAAATATGATGAAACCCATACAGCCACATCTTAAAAGTGTAACAAAATTAATGGATTCACATACGCGAATAATATACAACTTGCAATTGTTAAACCCAGAATGCAACTGCAACGAAGGTCCATTTCAAAATTCTACATGTACTGAAATAATAATAAAAAAAGGCCTAATAGCCAAGGTGAAATACCAAATTTTAATAAGACGCGTTATTTAACCAAATGATCATAGAATGGATATGTATAAGCACGTTTTCATGGAAAATATTTGAATATGAGGGACTGCTAAAAATAAATATAAACTTAAGCTGCCCAATCCATCATTGATCAGAAGAAGATGCGATCGCTGGAACAATGGCTTTATTCGTCTGACGTTTTGAATTCTCTCTTGAATCCATTATCAGAGACAGTTGCAAAAAAGGGTGGCTTGTGTTCAGGAAGTCGCAGTATTTATACCATGCGGTCGCCATGCTACCGCACACCTACAGCAATTACCCGTGCTCCCTTCATCAAGGATTGTTGCCCGTCGGTGCGCTAATTGCTTGATGACCGGCATGCAAGTTGATAATTGTTGACATCTCATCACCCATGTTCGATGCTGGCGTGATGATTGCTCGGCCATCTGGCTCACCGGCTGTTGCGCTTCTCGAGTGGTCAATTGCTTGTGCCGCTCCATGCTTCAGCACGGAATATGGAGTGGGAATGTCGTTGCACTTGTTGATAGAGTGAGGTCCCGTGAACCATGACTCAAGCAACTCGCGGCTCACGCGATTATCCCTTCTCGCGAGAATTTCGGCCTCATCAAATTTGAATGTGTGGATGGGTCTCGTCGAATGGGCCGCGACCTGAGAGTTGGCGTCATTATTCGGTACAGCTGCCGCGTGTTCGGCGATTCGCATCCGAAGCAGTCTTCCAGTTTCTCCGACGCAGTTGCTTTGTCCGCAACTGCACCAGATCCGGTAAATGACTCCAGGTGTTTCTTGCCGTGACAGTGGGTCTTTTGTTCTCATCACTTGACGCCTCATGGTGGCCTCCGGTCTGTGCGCAACTCCAACCCCAAGTGGTGCAAGAAGGCGACTAACGGCCTTGGAGACGTTCTTGATATACGGGATCGCTCGCCATAATTTGGGGCCGGCGCGATTTTGTCGCTCGTCTCGTTTGCGGAGGCACCGGTTGACGAAGTTTTCTCGGAAAACCCGTCGAATATATTTGGATTAGGCAACCTTGTCTTCCGGTTCCCTGCAGTGCGTCTCTACACGCTGAAATAGCGTTCTTACGCAACTGCGTTTGCGGCAGATTGGATGAATACTATTCAAATTCAGAATTTGCGTAGTGTTCGTTGCTTTTCTAAACACCTTTGTCTTTAAACCACCACAATCTTTGCGACTGACGAGGACGTCAAGGAATGCCAGGCGGTTATTCTATTCCTCCTTCATCGTAAATTGTATGTCCGGGAAGACGATGTTGAGACGTTCTTTGAACGTTAGCACCTTGCCCCGTTCGATGACGACGAAGGTATCGTCCACATACCGAGCCCAGAATTTCGGCCTGTGGTGTTGGAAGACCAGCGACTCCAACCGCTCTAGGACAGCCTCGGCGATGAATGCGGAAATCGGCGAGCCCATTGGTGTTCCCTTCACTTGCTCGTAGATTGTTCCGTCAAACGTGAAATACGTCCTGAGACAGAACTTTAGGAGCTGAAGGACTTGGGCATGTCCGAGACGATTCTCGGTTTCATCGTATTTGTTTCGTAGGAGTAGCTGGACTGTCTCGATTGCCAAATCCTGGATGATAGAAGTAAAGAGGGACGTGACATCAAAAGATACCATGACCTCATTTGACAAGATACTTACTCCTTTAAGCTTCTCCAGGAATTGTGTTGACGAACAGACCGTGGTGTCTGAATCCGCGGTCAAAAATTTGAGACGCAGAAACAGCCATCTTGTCAATCCGTACGTTGGAGTGCCTTTGAGCAATACAATGGGTCGGAGAGGAGCGCCCTACTTGTGCACTTTTGGGAGACCATAGAATCGGGTCAAGGCCGTTTCTTGGGCTCTCGCCATGCATCGGTCCGTCTGTGTTACTGCACCCGAGTTCTCCAGTGTTGACGCCAACTCTCAGGTCGCAGCCCATTCGACGAGACCCATCCACACATTCAAGTTTGATGAGGCCGAAATTCTCGCGAGAAGGGATAATCGCGTGAGCCGCGAGTTGCTTGAGTCATGGTTCACGGGACCTCACTCTATCAACAAGTGCAACGACATTCCCACTCCATATTCCGTGCTGAAGCATGGAGTGGCACAAGCAATTGACCACTCGAGAAGCGCAACAGCCGGTGAGCCAGATGGCCGAGCAATCATCACGCCAGCATCGAACATGGGTGATGAGATGTCAACAATTATCAACTTGCATGCCGGTCATCAAGCAATTAGCGCACCGACGGGCAACAATCCTTGATGAAGGGAGCACGGGTAATTGCTGTAGGTGTGCGGTAGCATGGCGACCGCATGGTATAAATACTGCGACTTCCTGAACACAAGCCACCCTTTTCTGCAACTGTCTCTGATAATGGCTTCAAGAGAGAATTCAAAACGACAGACGAATAAAGCCATTGTTCCAGCGATCGCTTCTTCTTCTTCTAATCAACTAGTTCCTGGAACTCGCATCCTCGCTTGTATCGGCAATCCATCATTGCTTCCATAAGATTACCTTGTAAGGCGGTCGAACAGAAGGTCGTTCGCAAGCCGGCATCCAAAATAAAATAACTAGATAATTAAATTATGCAGCATGTAACAAACTGTTGCAATCATGGTTATATTCTTTTTCCAAATTAAACATATAATTTAAGATTTTTGATTGGCATTTCCTGACAAAGCACACACCACTATCGGCCTACCAGTTAACACCCAATTCGCTTTTCATTTGGGCTGTCCATTGAAGGAGACGATGATACAAATTCAAGTATTTTGGCTTAAATCCGGATCTCCATGATCTTCCTGAACCTATACCCATGTTGTTGCAACCGGGGAATAATTGTGATTCCGAGCAGCGAATACAGTCTGAACTGGGCCTTTCAAGGGAGGACTTTTTGTGACATAAGCAGATCGCGGTCAAATTAAAAGTTCAGCTAGACTTCAAGAACCACCCAAATAAATTTATAGAGCAGAAAATGTCGCCATATGCAAGCTACGTTTGGATGTCACGTAAACGTGGTTGAACTAAACAGAGTATACAGCAGACACTATTTAAATGTTATCTATGGTCGATTTAATGTGGCCTGCATTGGAATACTCGCGCCGCTTATATCGACGGTCTGCTATTTACTGCGCCTCGAGCATCGATAGAGGTGATGACACAAATACATTTATTTATGCCTAAATCCATGTCTAAATAAACTTCCACAATAAGCATTTAGGCCTAATCTAGACCGATTTTAACGCAACTTGCGATTATATCATGATCCCGCACTGCTAACTCAGGCTAGACTAGACCTTTCAACTGAAGTTGTTTGTGCGAAAAGCAGTTCACTATGCGTTTGCGGCCAAAAAACAAATTTATTTTAAATTTAAGAGCCCCAGAAATACAGTGCGGTAGGTCAAGAAGGCATTTATCAGAGCAAAAATTGGCCCAGCCTAAGTGACCGGTCTGGCGTCATTGTTCCAAACTTCACTGCCTCAAGGTCATCCGCCCTTTTGCAGTGAGCCGTTCCAGACGCGTTGCCCTGTAATCACACAACCAAACAGCTCGGGCACACCTGCGTTCGCAGCAGCCCAAGCGGCCACTTGAACGGACCGCCCCCTGCAGCCAGCAAAATTAGCCACTGGGACACCACCCCTCGGCAAATGCAACACAAGCAGACTGGCCAGCACTTGAGCTTGGCCCTCAAGCCCACAAAAGCGGCTGCCACCACTATCCAAAGGACTCTCAGGCATGACTGGGAGCAGTCAACACCAGCCTTGGTTTCACCAGTGACCACTGTTGTCTGAGAGGACAACTTCGAATTCTGTCTGTAGATTTTACTAGATACAGGCAAACAAACGCTGATAAAGCGTATTTGAGCCGCCTAAAAGGGAGATTTCATTAATGAGATCCTATGTCAGGCAGAACTACCTTGGTACATATTGAGGAGACGTATTACTGTCCATCGTTTGAATTTAAAACAGTCGATTTTGGAGAAGAATGTGAAACCAACCCATTCCTTTTCGCGGAAAAGTATCCCTTGAAGCACAGGAAAAGCATATGAGTCGGATGAAAGTGTTACGCAACAGACAATTTTTTTTTCAATTTTTGTGCAATTATAATGACTATGCCTCTGCAACGTTATTGGGTGTAACTTTAATTGATGCAGGAACTGCATAAAAAACTATCTGAATCTAACAACTATGTTGGCGGTAAAATGAAAAATAGGTGGGCAGCGCACGGCTACCGTCGATGTCGCACAAACCTTCCACAATACATCTTACACATTCGAGTTGAGGATCAATTTGATGCGTCTGTAGTCTTATTATGCATACGCCTTGTTCTCGGAGCGGTTGCTTCTAAGGTGATATTTACAATCCGATGAAGACCGGATGACCGACCGAAAGTCAGACCGGACTGGTGAAAAAGCTAAACGCAGTTGAACACCGTTTACGTAGCCAACTACAATAACGAGTTTAATATGATATTGTGAAACGGCAACAAATCATGTCCTTTCCGTTTATACATTAAGAACGGTTTCTGGCGATTTCAATATTTTTGTCATCAAGAATGCTGTTTTTCGGACAAGAAAATATCAATTTTACTTTTTATTTTATGTCCTGGACACGCTTAAACTTGCTGGACGTTTTTTTCCACTCTTGCGTCTATTCGTTGGGGCTGTTCTGTAAACGTATGGCAATTTTTTATTAATTATGGCAGCCCTTAGAATAAGCACAATCAGTCTGAATTAGCAGAATAATATGTAAACGACAGAACAAACGATGTGGATCTGATACCTATGGCGAAATGAAATCTTGGGCAGGCATGAAACAGCAGACCAAGCCGGCAGCGAGTTGCACGCGTAAAACTATACGACCGACCAACGTGTACTGCGGCTACGGGTACGTGTCTAAGCTGCCAAACCCTGTTAACTTTCAAAACCCGTATTCGAATCCTAATAAGAACACAAGCAAGTGGTCTAAAGGAACGATTTGGGGATTTTTTGGGACAGCGGTAGGACGGCTGGAAGTTCGGACAGGATAGGGAACACAGGGAGTTCCTTTGGCGTGGACTGATTAACCTGGAAATGGTCATTGGTTGATCTGGTAAGCGAGAACGGTGATGCGTGTGTGGTCGTCGAAAAAGCGTTCCTAGGTCCTAGGTGTCCGGACCTCAATTGTTCTCAGTAATTATGGGGCCCCCATGGATGCGGGTAGCTCTAGTGAATATACCTAAAACGCTGTTGCCCACAATAATATCTAAAAATCAGTAAATATGAAAGCTTTGGCGAAGGTTTGGATGGAGCGACATTACACACTATATTCCTGTATAATGATTAACATTCTAATGTCGTCGAGAATGATTTCCTTTAACTCTTTACTACGATTTTTGTCATGTCGTTAATGATTGACAATAATAGGCAGTCTTGCCTTTATTTGTATTAGTGGGGCTTCAAGCTGTGTTCGTCTTGGTTTGCCTTGAAACTTTGTAGATAGACGCAGAACACTCATCATTATATGAAACTAAGGAATACTGACAATTAAATTAAAGATTTACCCCCGTTAACTAACTAAATTAAGCTGTTTAAAGAGTGTGTGAACAGGAAATTGGATTTTGTTTCCTATATTTGGAAGAGGAGCTACTCAGAGATGAATAAAACTTTTGGCAGATCCTAAAAGGACGGTCACCAACTGAGGCCACGATAAGACTGAGGGGATTCGGGCCAACGGAGAGGGCTTATCGTTCAGTGCGGAAGAGATTAATAATAGGAAATGCAGATATCACAACTCAGTGTATTTATTCTCTGTACATGTTCGTCTAGTGTTTATACACACTGGAACCGACAAAGATTAGGGGTAATCTAAAACACAGCTAACTATATTGCGGTCCAATGGCAAAATGTAACTGCAGTTTATTCCCTAGCACGGAGCGGCAGTATGTATAGGCGTACCAGTGTAGTGAGGCCGATAGGACGATAGAAACGACGTAAGGAATTACTAACTCCTCGAGAAAATTATCAACGTATGTTAGAAACATTCATGTTGGTAACTGCAGTAAAATCACAAGGGTAACGGGACAATATGAGGCGTGCTTGTAAGCTCCTACACGTTTTTAGTCAAATAATAACAACCGGTTCTCCTGGTGGAATAATTGAAATAGCGACCTGCGAGATTTTTGGTTACCTCTTTGGCAACATTGGCTGATAAGTTGCATTAAAAACGGCTGTTACACCCACCAATAACTAGAACGAAATTGACATAAATAAAACGAGGCGTAACTTCAAGTGATGACGGAAAGCGCTGGGTAGACGCACTTAAAGACGAAGACGCGATCACTGGAACAGGAAATGTATTGGCCTGAGTTTTCGGCTGGAGTCACTTGGGTGTTTGCGTTGTGAGGTGGAGGCCGGTGAGATTTGGGCGCTTCAGGCTTGGCTTTTGCGACGGCGATGCGGTCTGCTTGGTTGATCGTCCCACCTGGCTTTACCGTCCTTCTTCAGGTAGGACTGTCACTAACCACGTCTTCCCAGTTTGCCTGATTGGTGTGGAGACGGTTCAGGGAAGTCTGCAGAGTTCCTGCGACTGTCAACATTGACCGCGGATCCCAATTCGAGTCCTCTTTGTTTAGCGAGCTCAATTTGCTTTCCGATACCAAACGAATCCGAACAACAGCATACCCATCTCAGGCAAATGGTCTCGTTGAACGTTTTCATCGACAGCTCAAGACTGCGCTAATGGCTCAGCGGGGTCCTCCTTAATGGTTCGATCATCTTCCCCTGGTGATGCAATCCTTCCCTTCCACTATCAAGGCCGACATCGGTTGCACTGCAGCTGATCTTGTCTATGGAACCTCCCTACGACTGCGCGACGAGTTGGTATCTCCTGCAAACACGCTAACGTTTTTTGAAAACTTAGAGTTCTGCGGTGCGGGCGTCATCGGCCAATTCCTTTATTCCACCCGATCTGGACACGTGGAATTTTGTCTGGGTTCGGCATGACGCTGTCACGAGCCGCATAAAGTCATTAGTCGATCCGTCAAAAATCTTCTCATCGATCGCAACGACAAGACCGACACAGTCCTCATTAATCGCTTCTAGCCTGCCTCAATCGAGGACAGTGACCATTTCTCAGGCCGACAATGTACCCTGCCGCAAACAGTTATGTCTCCACCTACTGGCGACAGCCTGCCTCCGCTTTGCCGCGCACGATCTGGTCGTCACGTCCATTAGCCCGATAGGTTACTGTTCGACAAGCATATCGGCGCCTTTACTTAGCTTGGTGCTTGTGGGAGCGTTGTAATAGCCGCTCCAGTTCCTCTTCCTCCGGCTCCGTTTTGTCAGTCGAGGGCCGCTACAATCGTCCACAAGCCGTTGACATACGACCAAGCCCCCCGGCTGGAACTGGGGACCCTCCTGTCTAGCGGAAGTGACTCCCGGCTGCCCTCACAAACTACTATCACCTTACGCGTGTCGGACGATCTGGCTTGATACCCGTGAGCCACTATGATTTTGCGTCCCCCTATTCCTTTCAATCTCATAGCCAGTACTCAGCCAGCCATCCCCTCCTAATGACACAGACTTTCATTCCCGCGTAGACTCCACGCCGCGACTGAAGCTCTCCGTTGCAAGCAAACAGTCAACTTCCAGCAAGCTGCCTTGTGTACAGAATAAAGTATTTCCTACAGATCCCTGACTTCAGACATTAGAAGAAGCACAATTAATGTGCGTGGTTTGAGTTAATCTCACCTCCTTGGCCGCCACAGCTGTCTTGAACATCGTAAGTTCTGTGTTGAAATCGAAACTTTGACGGTTTCAGACCAGGTTCTGCTGACGGAACTGTGTATGGTTGCCTTGGAAATACGGCGGGCAGTTTCGTCCTTGAATTCGGCGCTGCATAAGAGGGTTCTGCCCAGATAGTGGAGTTGTTTCCCATTTACACTTTGTTTCCGTAACCGCTGATTTGCGTTGTATTGTGGGCCGTGTTGGGTGGCGGTTTTTGCATGACAACTGTCCTTCCCGTGTTACTTATCAGGACAAATTTTGCATACACCAGAGTTAAGAGATCCATGCTCCTTTGCTTGTCCCCTGTTAAGGTGGTGTTGAGGGCGCAGTCTTCGGAGAAGAGAAACTGCTGGACGGTGCATCTGGATGCACCCGACTGAGAGAGCATCCGCCTGACATTGAGGAGATGACCGTCCGACCCATAGGCACTACGGATCGCGAGGCGTTCCCCACGGTGGGCGTCCATTAGCAATGCGACATGCAGATTTATTTTCCAATTCATTCCTCGCAATCAAATATCGTCCACCGTCGTCAACTCAGTGGCTGGCGGTAGTTTACTCTCGTAGACTAGTTTGCATTATTTACCAAACTTGAAACTGCTGCATAAGTACAGCTGTTCTGACTTCGCAGACTTGTGTCTAGGATGATCTACTTTAGGTGGGGTAACTCATGCAATTCAGAAATACGCTTTCATTTCAAAAATATTTACAAAATAGGGTAGTAATACTGGTCCATCTGAGACATAATTATATGATAATTCAGTAAAGTCAGGATGTCGGCCTTTGAGTTAACCTCCCTCTGGGGTCATTTAAAACTACACTGTATAAAAATGACTTCTTTTATAGCATGATTATTTTCCATTTATTTTTGATAACCCTAAAAGTCCAATTATATTTCATTAAAAACATGCATATTACTTTTCAGTCTTTTGTTTATAAGGTTGAAAATTACGTTTTATTTTAATTTTATACTCCAAAGAGGGGCCTGATTCGATTTTAAAAAAAGTTGACAATTTTGAAAGCACTCTACTATTACACTTGGATTCAGGCATTCAAAATACCAGCCGTACATTTTTCTTCTACAGAAAATCATAAATCTTACTACGTTAACAAAAAGGAGCATATAGAGTGCATTACATTTATATTGTTAACTATATAGGCCACTTTGTTTAATACAAAACATGACGATTTATAAACGGCGGTCTCATGATAGCTAAAAAGTTCCAAAATTAGAAACTTTTAAAACCAAGTTAGGTCCCTGCGTCGAATATAAAATCAAAAGACATAATAGCCAACCGAATGATTAAAGACTGAATATTTTTATTAATGTTTTCAATAAAATATACTTGCACTTTTAGGAGCATCAAAAGTCAATGAGAATAGTTCATGCTATTTAAGAATTCATTTTCACAGAATGCAGTTTTTCTATGCAACTAGGAGAAATTTCAATCGAAGGCCGGCATCCTGACGTAACTGAAATATTAGAGAATTATGGTGTAAGCTGACTAATTTTACAACACCTTTTAATTTATCTGTACAAAATTGAAACGCATTTCTGGATAGGATTAACATTGTATGACTTAGCCTACCTATTAAACATGCATGTTGCCGAGTAAATGCAACGGAAATCTCCATTCACCAGGTTGTCAAAGCAAGAACTGCCAAATATCGCGTCAATTGGAAATGTAAGTTGGTCATCGTCTAATTTGCACAATGGAATTTTCCACATGAACTATTTGCTAGAATGTCTACAACTTCTGATCACACAATTCAGAGTGATATAATTCACCCATGTTTTCCAAATAAAAGTCGACACTGTCAGCGAAAACAACTGCGGAACTGCGGTCACACTTCATCTACGCATTACTATCCTTCTCAATGATATACCACTGAAATATCCGAAGCACGACAAGGCAAGATGTTTTAGATTGATCGCTCCATTTCTTCCAGTAGTGAATATTAAGGTGAAATAGTTGAGATCTGGATGTAGTGAAATTCGCAACGTAACTTTTTATGGTCGTGCCCACATAGCTAACCGTTTGTGCGACCAGAGTAGGTTAATTATCGAAAGTGGCCTACAATTTTCACCAAAGAATACGCCTTTCGATACCATGAACTCTCCAAATCATGCGGAGTTAAAAGGTTACAAAGTAATCAAAAAGTTTTAAGGGCAAATTTGTAATTTTGCCTGATTCCTTAGGGAAAAGTGACTTGTTAATATTTAGGAAAACTCAGTTATAGACAGCAAACGAGCACCTAATTTGGAAAAATAATTCCGAAAACGTCAGCACTTTAGCTGGAAGCATGCTTGTGGAGGATTCTGCACTGAACATGGCCCTTTTCTTCCAAATCGCACTCGATGCATTTGGCAGCACCGTAAACGCTATGCAGCACTAACTGTAGAACGAAGTGTTTAGATATTTTTTGTAGGAAAACACATTCTTGACAAAAAATCAGAAGACTGGAATTGCAGTAACGCATGTATGGGTCAGGCCTGACATCATCCTCAAAACTCTCAGAGACAGAGAAAAAAGTGACCATCTGTCCAAAGGGGGGCCTGATTCGATTTTAAAAAAAAAGGTTAACAATTTTGAACGCACTCTACTGTTACACTTGGATTCAGGCATTCAAAATAAGAGCCGTAAATTTTTCTTCTACAGAAAATCATGAATGTTACTATGGTAACAAAAGGGAGTATATAGAGTGGATTATATTCATTTTGTTAACTTTTAAAGCAACATTGTTAACTGCAAAACATGACGATTTATAAAAAACCGTTTTACGATAGCTAAAAAGCCCCAAAATTAGAAACTTATTTAAAACCAAATTATGTCCTTCCTTCGAGTATAAAATCAGAAGAAGTAATAATCAGCCGAATGAGTAAAAGATGAACATTTTTATTCATGTTTTTAATAAAATATTCTTGCACTTTTAGGAGCATCGAAAATCAATAAGAAAAGTTCATGCTATTTAAGTGGTCATTTTCACAGAGTATAGTTTTTCTATGCAACGAGGAGGAATTTCAATCGAAGGCCGGCATCCTGACGTAACTGAAATATTATAGAATTAAGTTGTAAACTGACTAATTTTACAACCTCTTTTAATTTATCTTTACGAAACTAAAACGCATTTCTGGATTTCGATTAATATTGTATGACTTAGCCTACCTATTGAACATACATGTTACCGAGTAGAGATAACGGAAATATCCGTCCACCAGGTTGTCAAAGCAAGAACTGCCAAATATCACGTCAGTTGATATGTAATTTGGTCATAGTCTAATTTGCACAATGAAATGTTCCCCATGGACAATTTTGTAGAATGTCAACAACTTCTGATCACCCAATTCAAAGTGAAACATTTCACCCATGTTTTCCAAATAAAAGTCGACACTGTCGGCGAAAACAACTGTGGAACTGTGGTCACAGATCATCCACGCATTACTATCTTTCTCAATGGTATACCTCTGAAATATCCAAAGCGCGACAAGGCAAGTTGTTCTAGAGTGATCGCTCCATCTCTTCCAGTAGTAAAACGGTAAGTCTGCGGTGAAATATTTGAGATCTGGATGTAGTGAAATTCACAACGTAATATTTTATGGTCATGCTTACTAGGCTTACCGTTCCAGCGACCGGAGTAGGTTTATTATCGAAAGCGGCCTACCATTTGCACCAAATCAAGCGTCGTTCGATACCATGAACTCTCCAAATCATGCGGAGTAAAAAGCTTACAAAGTAATCAAATAGTTTTATCGGCACTTTTGTAATTTTGCCTGATTCCGTAGGGAAAAAGAACTTGTTATTATTTAGGAAAATTCATTTCTAGACAGCAAACGCGTACCTAATTTGGAGTAGCAAATTAGTAAACCTGAGCACTTTAGCTGGAACCATACTTTTGAATGATTCTGTGAAGAATGTATTAAGCAATCTGAATTGAACATGGCTCTTTTATTCCAATTCACACTTGATGCACTGGGCAGCACCGTAAATGCTATGTAGCTATAATTGGACAACAAAGTGCTTCGATATTTTGAGTGGGAAAACACATTGTTGACAAAGAAGCAGAAGACTGGAATTGCAGTAACGCATGCATGGGTCAGGCCTGACATCATCCTCAAAACTCTCAGAGACAAAGAAAAATAATGATTTGTCTAGGGCCGTTTAACTTGTCAAACCATTTCCGTGTTCGTCAAGTTTATACGTTTAACGTTTTCTTAGAAGGTAGGCCAACCAAAAGTTTTCAAAGCATCAACATCTTGTCATGCGGCTTTCCTTAATCTCCTCGCCTTCCGTAAATAACGCGCGCTGTCGTGTATAACAACTTCAGGACTTTGACTCATCCGTGCCCGCACCGATTTTCGCCCTGGGGGGTTGGGAAGATGAATGGGTGTACAACCATTTTTCTATGCAAAAAGCCTATCCTGTTTAGGATAATCCAGCTGCAACTAATTTGCTGTCATTATGCTGCAGTATTTAGGTTCGGCTTGTTTTGCTGAGCCTAGGCTCTATGAGGCCGAATGCATCTTTTGTCGCAAATTTACTTATGAATGATAGACTGACGGTAACCTAATTGAACTAACTGACAGTCTAGACATTTGAAATCAGGTCAAGCCTGCTTTGGTCTCTAGTCATGATCCTCAAACGTCAAAATAGCAGCTGGATTGTAGGTCGATAATATTGGCCTTGCATATTTCAGACTTGCCTTCTAAACGACACCATGTATGCATATGGTTTGTAATAAAAGCTACCTTACGCTGCTATAAAGCGATTATCTGAGGCGGTAGATTTTCAAGTGAGGGCGGTTTCTTCGTTGTATTTTGATGACAAATGGCGAACTCTACCGTAAATTTTAGTGGAATATATAGCCTAGCACGCTCGAACTTTGTGGAGCATTCAGTGGACTTAATGTAATGGACGACTTAATAACCGAATGGTCTGTTCTGTAGTCGGCAGGTGGGAATTTTCCCATATACTGGTAGACATCAGTTGAACTCTCTAATTGTAATAGTTTTCTGATCAAATTACAGAATACTCGGAAAAATCAGTAGATTTCAATCAGCCATTTAGGTCAGGATCTGTGTAACTAGTTCATGCCCCAAAAGTAAGCATAATACGCCAAGCCATGAAAGATTTGATCCAGGCGATCTCCAAAGGCCTGTTGTCACTTATGAAAAGGGTTGATGAATCCAAAAATAGTAATGTGGTGTGAGGTACGCTGGTTTTGTAAATGTAAATTCAAAAAAAGCAATTTTGGCGATCCAGCGAGTATGTGATGACTTTTGGGGCAGGGGGTAGTTAACAAGGCTCGGCATTGTCGAGATATGAGAAGCACTTGCCTAACTTCACCCTAATAGTCCCCAAAATCGCAACGCGTTAGTGACCGACCTTTACCAGACAGATTTAAATGGTTACAAGAAGGATCCGCGTTTGACGAAAATCTCACTGGAAATTAATCTATAAACGCTTGTCTT